AAAATATCGCATTTAGGCTCTTTCGTTTTCAAAAAATTTCAACTTTTTTGTGTGCGTTCTGATTGGTTCATTTTTTCTTCAACTCATGAAATTTATTGTTTATAAATGTTCGGTGATATTAATTTCTTATTTAATTTTTTTTTAATTCTTTCTTTTTCTTTCCTTAACAATCTTCATTTTTCTCTTATTTATTTTTACTTTCAAAACTATCTTTTATTATTATTATTTTTTCATGTAATTTATTTATAAAATTCATTATAAAAAAGCGTCCGCCATTCTGGAAGTCTTGGCACTGCTGTTCTAATTTTAAGTATTTAAAATTGTGTTTGCTACTAATTTCGGTGATTTGTAAAGTTTCATAAGTTATCTTAAAACTATGAGTGCTATAAAAATTCAAAAAACGCCTGCAGAACCTGGAATAATTAATTTTGGTTATACTGAGTTAGAGAAAAAAAAGAAAAAACTAGATCGGCACGATGTAAATTTTGTCAAGCTTTAATTACCGATGGAGTTGCGACTACAAGCAACTTCATTCGCCATTTAAAAACACATCCAGGAAAATATGAATTGTATCAAAAGTTTATTCAGACAAGACCAATGGCTGCTTCACCAGACCAATCTAAGATTTCAGACTTTCGAGCAGGTTATTTACTTATAATAATTTGTTTTTATTTTATTAGATATTTAAAATATATTAAACCCTAGAGTCCGTTCTATATCTACCTCTAGTAGACAAGTAGTCTACTAGAGGTCTGACATTCCATAACAGTTCTTATAGTTCTTATTAGCTTGTACGGCAATACGTTGCAGTGTCGCACTACATCTTACCACTTAACCCGAAGCTTTTAAATAAAGCTTTAAACTTAGCGTATAAAGCATGGCGTTAAAGATTATTACTTTATAGAATAAGAATGATATTGCATTTATTATTTGTAGTTGCTTTGGGAGAGAGTTCTATGACAACATACGGCCGCACCCACCCCAAGCAACGAAGAATTTTGGCAGCCGTTGTGAAACATCTAGTAGTTGGTGCATCACTACCCGTGTCTATAGTAGAAAGTGAACATTTTAGGCGATACAATAACATTCTTGATCCTCAGTGCTCAACTATTAGCCGTTTTGCCGTAAAAACCTTATTAGAGAAAACGTATACGGATGCAAAGGAAAAATTAACTGAAAATTTATGTCAAGCTGCAAGCATTTCCATAACACTTGATATTTGGTCAGATAGAAAAATGAGCGGTTACCTTGGTGTAACAGCGCATTACATACATAACTATCACTGTCACACACAACTGTTGCCATGCGATAGGTTCTTAGGTGTTCACACTGGTGATAACATAGAAGAACATTTTGAATCCATTAGTAAAACATACAAAATTCTTGACAAAATTGTGTATGTTGTGACGGACAATGCCTCAAACATGCGCAAAGCATTTACTACAAATTTTCCAGAAGACCCCGAAGGTGGCGGTGATACATCTGCAGAGGAACTTGCAGAGGACTTAGAAAATGAAGACCTGTGGGAAGACATTATTGCACCGGACGAAATAATCCAAAATATCAATCATCTTAACCCAAGAAGAGAGGTTACAAGACTATGCTGTTTTGCTCACACCCTACAATTAGTTGTTGGCAATGGTCTTAAAGAGGTAAAAATTTACTCCGCTCAAGCTAAAGCATCCAAAATATGCACTTTGCTTCATACTAGAACAACATTTAAAGAGGCTTTTAATAAAACGTTTGGCTCCAAACAGGGTATTCCTCGAGTAAACGCAACAAGATGGAATTCCACATTCCGTCACATAAAAAGCGTTGTCAATTTAGATGAAAAGAAATTGAAAAACCTGCTTGATGATTTAAGCCACTGCAATCTAATACTAAATGAAAGAGAATACGTGCAACTTAGAGAGCTCATTGATTTATTGCAATTATTTCTTGAAGCCACCGATATGACTCAAGGTGAAAAAAATATAACAATATCATTAGTAGTTCCCTCTATCGTTGGGCTATATAGTCACTTAGAACAATTTAATACAACTTATCTGTCCGGTATGAAACAGGTATTGCAAAACAGTCTTCAAAAAAAATTTTCTGGTATATTTGCAAATGTTGACCTCATCCCATCAATAGATAAGAAACTACCATTTAATGACTTGATAATTGTGGCAATATATTATTGCCACAGTTTTGGATCCCAATTTTTCTTTCTTTTGGACTGAGAAGCTATATCATGTCAAACCAGGTTAAACAGACAACTTAAAGACAAATATCATTTCAAAAATTCGTCAATTCTGCAACAAGCAGTTTAGCCATACCAATGTAGCCATGGACGGAAAAGTCTTACCAGAAAACCTACCCTCTAAAAAGCCAAGAACTAATTCATTTTTGTACTCTTATTGTAGATCTACACCTGTCATTCAGACTGGAACTACATCGCAACCACCTGCTAAAAGTTTTGATACTCAGTTTCATTGCTATGAAGAACTGGTAAATGAAGTATTTGCATCTAATTTCAATACCCTAGACATAGATTGTCTTCAATTTTGGAAAATGCATGGGCAAAATTTACCAACTCTCCAAAGTGCTGCCATGTATACTTTTGTGGTACCTGCAAGCAGTGCTCCTGTTGAAAGGGTATTCAGTCAGGGTGGCCTGATTATGAACCCTAAGCGTGCAAGTTTAAATTCTGACACTGTTTGTCAGTTAGTTTTTTTAAAATGTAACATGGATATATTACTATAATTTTTTATGAAAATCAGCATTTGTAATCTTTTTTTCAAAAGAATGATAGAATAAAAACATTAGTAAATTGGCTAAATAGCTTATGAAGTCTTATGTCACTGTATTGTGTATTATGACTCCTTAGCTATTTTATTACAGATGGTTAATTTTACTTTTAAAGCTACTTTAGTAAAAAAAGTAAAATTATAACTATTATCATGCTGTATTTTATAATTGTAAGGTGACTGTTTGAATGTAGCTACCAGAGCCATCGCAAGGTTCCCTAATGCCCCTCTTGTAAGAGGAATTTTGTGGTTTTTATGACAGGTATTGGAATGGGCCTCCGAACTCCTAGCCGCGTCACTGATAGCCACCACATGCACAGGAATCTTTTATTGTAATACGACTTGACTTGAGACTTGACTTGACATGTCACTATATGACTTGAGACTTGACTTGAGACTTGCTCCAAAGTGACTTGAAAACAGCTCTGGTGTATATATATATATATATATATATATATATATATATATATATATATATATATATATATATATATATATATATATATATATACATATATATATATATACACCAGAATACATAGGTACGAGAGCAAACTCTCCTAAAATGAACTTCAGGAGCTGTGCAAGCAGCTCCTTTTTTAAATCGGCACTATTTTTTAACTCTAATTTTTTTTGCATTAACCATGCCATTTAAAAAAAAAATTTTAGTATATTATGCAATTAATTTTTTTTAAATGACATTGTGTTTTTTATTTTATATAAAATGATAATTATACTTTTATGAGAAAAATTATACATTTGCGAGAGTCATAAATAGTTCTCATTAACCCTTTCAGGGGAGTGTGAGCAAGAGCGAGAGCTAAAGCTCTTGCTTCCCGCTGAGGCCTGTATATATACATACATACATACATACATACATACATACATACATACATACATACATACATACATACATACATACATACATACATACATACATACATACATACATACATACATACATACATACATACATACATACATACATACATACATACATACATACATACATACATACATACATACATACATACATACATACATACATACATACATACATACATACATACATACATACATACATACATACATACATACATACATACATACATACATATATATATATATATATATATATATATATATATATATATATATATATATATATATATACATATATATATATATATATATATATATATATATATATATATATATATATATATATATATATATATATATATATATATATATATATATACATATATATATATATATATATATATATATATATATATATATATATATATATATATATATATATATATATATATATATATATATATATATATATATATATATATATATATATATATATATATATATATATATATATATATATATATATTAGTTTAAAGGTAAAACCAAGTGAAAGCCATATACAAGTTACAGATAGTATGAAAAATAAGATTTATATAAAAAAAATTTTTACAGAAAAAAGATTATGTACAATGTAAATTATCTTTTTTTTAGAATATGTACATTGTACATATTTCAGCAAAGCTACAGTTAAGTGGTCTAAAATAACTTAATTTTTTTGCTTGTTGTGCTCTTATCAGTGAAGGTTCTTTTTAAACAATAGGAAATATTAATTGAAATAATAAAAGCAAAAAAGATTGCTGCCATATACCAAACCCTCAGCCGATGTTGCAGCATAGCCTTATAGCAGCAGGCTATAATGTTGTGCTGCAACATTGATGTAGCTACACTTTCCCATGTAGAAGCAGGCTATAAGATAGTCAATGTAGTTGTACTCTCTTGTAGCAGATGGCTTTAAGATAATCAATGTATGTACTAAAAGCCAATATTTTTTGTTTATAATAAAAAGCCACCACTTTGAGCAAGTCTCCACACAAAAGTGCAACAAACAAAAAAACAAAATTATATTAGACCGGTTAACTGTAGTTTTGCCCATATTTTCAAGTCAGAAAGTAAGTTTGCTATCATTAAACACCTTGTAAAATAGATCAAAAATTAACAAAAGAACTTCCTTATCAAAAAAAAAAACTCAAAAAAAAAGTTTGATTGAGTTATATGAAGTGTTATATGAAGTGTTATAAAGAGTTATATGAACTTGAATAATAAAATTAAACAAATTAAGGAGTTAACAGTAACTATGAGATCATGATAAAAAAGATATATTATAAATACCTTTGCAATAAAAATGATAGTATGCTGGCTAAATCAGATCCAGGCTCAGTAATTTCATCATTACTTTCACTTGAATCATTTGAATTATCTTCTTCCATTTTATATTATATCATTTTATATATTTTTAAAAACTGTGTACAATTCTAAATCAATACCAAATTCAACATAAAACAAACAATCCATTTTATATTTCCATTTATTTTAACTAGATAACATTAAAAACTTGCACAATAATCTTAAATTGCTACTCATATAGTTAAAAACTAGTCAATTTTGTGACATCATTACTAAAAAATTTATAACAAAGATATATATATATATATATATATATATATATTATATATATATATATATATATATATATATATATATATATATATATATATATATATATATATATATATATATATATATATATATATATATATATATATATATATATATATATATATATATGAGGCTAAATTTCTTTTGGGTTAATTTTCAAGGATTCGCCAACATTTGCACCTTTTCCTGGAACTTGCTTTTTTTATGTTGTTTATTTTTTCGCTCAATGCAAACATAATTTTTAAATCGCGCTTTTAAGCGAGCGAGCATATTGTGTGCGAGTTTTTCCTTAGTTTCAAGCATGCATCAATAATAATATAAAGAAAATACAAAGTTCCAAGAAAAGGGCAATTGTTGGCGAATCCTTAAAAATTACCTAAAATAAAAATTGATTTTCATATTAGACACACAACAAAAAAGGAAAGTTCTGATAGTATTAACAACAATAAATAAAGAATACTTTTATGTTATCTTTTCCATAGTTGTTTTAAAATCTCCAAAACTTTCAAAAGTTTTGTATAATTTATCTCGAAATTTCGAGATAATTATTTCAAAAGTTTCCCGAAAAATTCCGAAAAGTTCGAAAATCCCGAAAAATTAAGAAAAGTCCCACAAAAATTCCGAAATTTCGAGATAATTATCCCGAAAAATTTCCAAGCAAATTAAAGTTTGTATTTTACAATGTAAAATACAAACTTTAATTTAGGTTTGCAATCAATATAATAGTAATAACAACAACAACAAATAAAATAATAATAATAATAATAATAATAATAATAATAATAACAACAACAACAAATAAAATACTAATAATATTAATAATAATGATAATAGCAATAATTATAATAATAATAATAATTGAAGCTATGCTCTTGAAAGACTCATAAAAGAATCTAACAACTGTAGATGTTAGATTTTAACAGATGCTTTTCGTGAAAAAAGTTAATTTTTTTTTTAAATCATCTAAATATGTGTTATTTTCTTTGTATAAACTGCATGCCTAAATTGAGGAAGTGAAAATGCCTATAGAGGTCCACTGAACTTCTGCTATAGCATGTTTGCTGAGTACAAAAAATAATTTTGTCACGATGGAAAAGCATTCATTTATATACTGTAATTTAAATTTTTTGACAGAAAGTATTATTTGTGTTTTTTTTTATTTTTTTTTTTTTATGTTCTTTTTATTTATTCAAAATAACTATTACAATCAAATAAAAGAAATGAGAAAGAAGAACGCGGAGACTTGCAGAAGATCGTATGATCTTGTCATCAAGAACCGCTTACAACTGACAATCATTTCGTATTTAAAAACAATTTCGTAATGTATATAAAATAAATAAACAAAGTCTAATAAAGTTTTTAAAATAAAAGTTAGAAGTAAAAACTAACTTTTGGCATGAATATATAAAATGCAAAATGAATGATAAAAAATGTATAAATCAACATGTTACACAAGCCAGTCAAAAAAAAGTTAACAAAACTAAATTTAAATATTTTAGATATAAGAATTTGTATAAACATTATAAATAAATCAAAGTAATTAAAATTAAAAATATGTATGTTTTCAGTAGAGAGAATAATATTTTTTAATTTTCTTTTAAAAGCAAAGAAGTTCCAGTTTTGAGAAAAATCTATTATATTCCTATAACTATATTATTCCACAGAAACGTCCCTCGAAAAGAAATACAAAACTTGCCTAAATTTCTTTTAAAAACCGGTTGTAGAATGAAATTATCATTTCGTAAATTATACTTATTTTTTTCTTTTGAGGAATATAAATTGTGAAAAGAAACCGGAGCTGTACGATTTTTACATTTAAACATAAAACTCAGTACATTAAATACATTTAGTTGAAATATATTTAAAATATTCATTTCAATAAAGTGAGGCTTAGTATGTGCAAAATGGTCTTTAAAATTAATAAGACGTGCAGCATGTTTCTGTTGGCGATGAAGAGGTTTTAATTTACTTTTATTAACACTACTCCAAGCTGCATTCGCGTAGTTTACGTGGCAATGAATGAATGAGTGGTATAGTTGAATTAAAATGTTTATTTAGCATGTTTCTTGCTTTATACAATATACCTATACTTTTCAAAATTTTGCAGGATATGTTTTCGATATGGTTTTTCCGTGTGAGATTTTCATCAATTGATACCCCTAAAAAGTTTGTACATGTTGCTCTCTTAATTAAAACGCCATCAATAAAAAGACTGGGAAGCTTTATTGGAATTAGACGTTTTTTAGAATTAGAATAGAAAAGAGACCATTTTGTTTTTTCAATATTCAGAGAAAGTTTGTTTGGTTTAAACCATTGGGAAACTTTATTTAGTTCAATGTCCATACAAGAAAATTATGTCGTTATGTTGCCATGAGATTAAAAAAAAATTGTATCGTTAGCAAACATAACTGTCATCAAATTGGATGCTTCATAAAGGTCGTTTATGTAAATGAGAAAAAGTAAAGGTCCGAGTACAGATCCTTGAGGAACGCCGCATGTAATTTCTAATAATTTAGATCGAGATGATTGGTCAAAATGAACAAATTGTTTTCTATTGTTTAAATAACTTTTTATTAGCTTAAGAAAATTTCCTGTGATTTCATAATGTTTTAGTTTTTTGAAAAGGATTTTATTGTCAATTGTATCAAACGCTTTTGATAGGTCAACAAAAAATCCTAAAGTAAATTTTGACTTTTCAAAGGAATCTGTAATACACTGAGTTATTTGAAGAATAGCGTGTTCAGTGGAGTTATTTTTCTTAAAACCATATTAATTTTTGATTTTTGTACAGTATATTATTTTTCGACAGATGTTGAAAAATTTTTTTATAAAGAATTCTCTTTAAAATATTTGAAAAAGCAGAGAGAACAGAAATAGGACGGTAATTACCGATATTCAACAATTCTCCTCTTTTAAATATTGGTGTAACTTTAGCTATTTTCAACTGATCAGGAAATATTCCTTGATCAATTGAACATTTAAATACTTTATATAGAACATCTTTTATGGTTTCATATGAGTTAATAACCAGATTTCCGCTAATATAATAATGACCTATTGCTTTTTTTGACTTCAGCATTTTAAATGCTTTATCAAATTCATCAAAGGATAATTTAAAAGAATCTAGACAAGACACTAAAAGAAAATTAGGAGTTTTATTTGTTTTTGGTTCCACTCAAATATTTTTTGCTAAATTTTGTCCAACTAATATAAAATATGTGTTCATTTTATCAGCTATTAATCTCGGGTCATAAAAAATTTCATCATTAATTTTAAGAGCATTGGGTAACGAGTTTGATTTTGATTTCTTACTGCCTGTAATTTTCCTTAGAATTTCCCACGTGTGTTTTGAAATTTGCTTATGTTTTTCAAGTCATTTTATGTAGTAGTTTTTTTTTAACATTTTTTTTTGGATTTCAAATTTTTAGCATAAGTCTTGTAAATTGTTTTACTTTCGAATCATTTTGTTTTTAAATATTTTATATACAATCTTTGCTTGATTCTTAAACATTTTTTGAAATCGTTTGTAATCCATGGAGATATTATGTCTTTCGTTTTTTTAAATAACTTATATTTTGGAAAATTAATATCATATACTTCTAAAAATGCTTAAAAAATGTATTATAGACTAAATTAGCGTCGTTAGAGTTGTTAATGTGATTCCAATGAAGTAAAGATAACTGTTCATTGAATGCTGTACAATTTATTTCAGTAAAAAACCGTTTTTTATTCTATACCAGGTCTTATTTTATTCTATACCAGGTCAGGTCATGTTCGGAATCATAACAATCATATCGCTACTGTTATCATGTAATCCAGTACTACCTTTCTCATACCCTGCTGCCTTGTAGGGTTCCTAGTTTTGAGACAAAGAAGACTGAGAGAAATAAACTTTAACTTCAAATTCCCCTGCCTTGGCACTCGTTGTTGAGTAAAGGCTATATATTGTGTCTTGATAAAAATATTCATCTTGGTAGTTTAATAAGATGTTAAATGCATCCAGGTACTGTCTTCTTGAAGGAATTCTCGAAACCCTTTTTTATTGATTAGGCTGGTGTAGATGTAAATCTGTTTTACCAAGTTTTCTGCCTTGGATAATGATTGCTGAATTTTCTTGAATCTACTCATATATTTTTGTTTGTTCTTTCTTGATATTGGCTATGCAACTCTTCCTTTTATCTCCTAGCAAGGGTACATCGTTAAAACTCAGCTTAATGGCTCTAAGACCGGCTATTAATAAGGTTTTGGATCTCTGTGGTAGCTCTCAGAGCAACTGATTCTATTAACAGCTGCTAAATGTCAGACATATCTGCTAAATATCACTACAAATACTCGTTGCAAAAGCCATATCTCAACTAAACTCTTTTACGCCTTGTGGTCCAGACAACATCCTAGTCATAGTCTTGCAAAACTGTTTTCCAGAACTTTCTTTAATTATTTCATATTAATTTAGTAAATGCTTGATGGAATCTTGTTTTCTTGCTTGCATTAAATGGCATCTGTTGTTCCAATTTTAAAAAAGCTAGGAAAACATTCTGACTCCTCAAACTATTATCCGATTTTTCAATATTTGCAATGTCTTTGATCAACAATTTTCTTACATCTTGAGTGAAATAACTTTCTGTCAGAAAATCAATTTGGTTTTCAATATTCTTTTTCTACGCCGGACTTGATAACTGCTGTGACTGAAAGATTGACTGGTTCTCTTGATAAAGTTGGGCATGTATTTCAATTAGCTTGCTTCAAATGGGGTACGTGGGAAAAAGTTAGAGATTATCAATTCATTTCTTTTTAACCTCTTTATTTTAGCCATCTTTGCAGGTCAAAAATTT